GGGCCCTATTGCCTCAATTTATCTGAAATTTTGTTGGTAGCTTCACGAATATATTTTTTTTGGCAGTACGTAGCTGTTTTTCGATTGAGAGCCAATTTTTTTTTTAATAATTTAGTGCGTATTTTTTAGTCAAAAATATATCTTTTTAAAAGAAAGTGTGACGATTTCACAAAAATTAGCTAAAAAATAAATACGTACGTACTTCCAAATACCGCAGTTTGTAGAACAACTTTTTGCTTTTCTATTCTAGGTCTCATTCTTTAGAAGAAATCGGTACTCCCGAGGATGCCTTTCAAAAAAACACAGATTAAATAATGGACTTTAAAACCGCCATTTTGTAACAAAATAATAATTGAAGAATATTTTTTTATACTTCAATATATGTTCAATGAAATGGTTAAACAGAAATTATATTCCTTTTCCCATATTTCTGCAATAATTTTTCAAAAATAAGTATACTGGTCAGACTTACAGGCCTATTCTGTCGAGGTAACAAAATTTACCTAGGTATTAAAATTTACCATTCAGTAAATTTTGTTACTATTTCGTATTCTGAGTTCACTGTCACCCTGTAAATTTTGTTACCAGCGAAATAGGGGGTAACAAAAACATCTGCTGTTTGATTTTGTGTTGTAAGTTTTGAGAAAAAATAAAAAAAAAAAACTAAAATGGGTAGGCATATTTTAGGCCTGGAATTCATTGAATATGAAGAAAAAAGTGTAAAAAGACGTATGCCAAGAAGTTTGCGAGAAAAAAATGACCCTTTCGATTTGGAAGATAGTGTTTTCATTCAGCTTTTTTTTTGTTGTCCAGGCATATTTTCCATAATTTGGTTCAAATATTTATGATTTAATATACAAATAAATAAATCTTTTTAATTTTTTTGTGCACCGTCTTCTATTTCTTTTTACTTTATCAATTGGCAAATGTAATTTGACATGGACGAAAAAAGCAGTGCTGCCAAATCTTTTTCAAACATTGTAACCAGTTCGCCAGAATACTAAATATAATTTCGGATGTTAAAGAAAAGTGACAAAATTTACTTTACCGGTAACAGTGAGAATAGGCCTGTTAAAAGATCAATATTTCCTTGCGCCTTCGTAAAATTAAACGTTGTCCTGGTAAATATCATCTACTTCCGGCCATAAAAAATCAATAATCATCTCTCGCTAGCGCAATGCATTCACCATAACTGTTACACCAGTCTCCTTTTTGAAAAAAGGCTATAGCTGCAATATTCTCAGTTGTTCTTGAGCAACGTGTGCCCAAAAGCTCCAGTCTCTCTACCAATTTCAGTAGTGCGGTCCAACAAGCTGCTTCGCGACGACCGAAAAATGTTTTAGTTTTACCAACCGTCTCTGCTAGGTTTTCACCATTTTTATAGTGAATTTTAATAATTTCAATCGTAGTTGAAGCGTATACGAGTATGGTTCCAGTTTTCTTATGGCGTAGTTTTTACTTGTAAAATGTCAAAGAATTTCAACTTCAATGATGACATCTACCTGGCAACGCCTCTTTTTGGAAAACCCTTTAGCAGCTAGTTAAAAGGGAGCCGTCACAAGACTGGAAAATATTTGTATCGGGTGGCGATGAAGAGTAGAATTTTTACGCAAAGCTTGTTGTTGTTGTTGTTGTAGCGGTTCACCGCTAAGGCACAGGTTTGGTCAGTCTAAGTCGCCAAGGTCATCTAATGGTAGGCCCAGGAAACGAGCTGTTTCGACGGGGTTGGACCAAAGGGAGAGAGGGGTTAGATGAGTTGGTTTGAGAGGGCATGTGAAGAGGTGGTTAGTGTCGTGTGGAGACTCTCCACACGCAGGGCATACGTTGGATATGCTGGGGTCTAGTCTGGATAAGTAGGAGTTTAACCTGCTACAGTATCCAGACCTGAATTGGTATGGTTTTCATTTCACATTTATTGCAAGGGAAACTATTTTGACTCCATTCATTAAAAAAAAAACACCAAATTTAGATACTTCTTTTATTGGTTTTGTTGTAATGTTTTGTGTAGTTCTGGCTTTAGTCTCGATTATTTTCAACACTTTACTGCAATTCTACCCAAAATATACCACCCCCTACCCGAATCCGAACATTACTATGTACCGAAGAATACGATAAAAATATAACGAAACACATATTTATACATACTTACTTACGCTCTTAAGCACATACGTTTGTACGTATGTACGTATGTATTACAAATATGCATGCTGGCTAATAAACAACTGACTATCGACACTTGTATGTACATATATCTATATGTACGTGTATGTATAAATATTTTACCGCGTCGCCTCCACTCGCACTCGAAATGCATACTGGAATGTGAATGGAATTTCAAAAATTTTTTCATCGTTTACCATCGCTTGCGCACATTTGTTTGTAAGTAAATACATACATACATCTGTGTGCGCAATCGACTCGCCAGCCAGCCAGCCAGTTAGCTAGTTGTTTCAGCTGGCGCAAAGCATGTAGTAGGTGTATGCCAGTGAGACTAGCGACGTCGTATGCATGCTGCTAGCGTTAAACGTTGGAGTTCAAAAGCGTTGCAACAATGTTTCTGTGATGTAGGCTGAGACGGTAGCATCGGCTGAGACTTTGGACGTCTCGTCGCCGCTGCCAATTGGAGTTTAGTGGTAGTGTATAGAACATTTTGTTGTTGCTCTGTGTGTGTTATAATCAAAGAAACATTTAAACTTACAGACATACACACTTGCTCATATTTTGTTTTGTATGTGGAGTAACTCACAGAAGTATTTTACATTCGAAGATAATAAGAAATCCTTTCTGATTTTCCTAATTTATTTCAAAACTTCGTTCCATGATTCTTTAACTATAACTAATTACTAGATAAATATGGCCCCTGCGGGTTAGGGGATCAAGCATTTACCAGAGGTAAGGCATGCCTGTCGTAAGAGGCGACTAAAATCCAATAGTTACCGGGACAGTCGGGTCTTTATACCGGAACGACCCGGGTTTTTATCCGGCCAAGGACTGTCACTCCCGCAACATTACAAAAAAAAGTACTTTGGGGCAGTTCCATCCTTGGCAACGAACCTCTAGCTTTCCGAGTTATGATTTGTTATCTATTATACTGGGGAAACAATGCCTAATGCTTGGAAAGAAATCTATAAGGTTCTGAAATAATTTCGCATTTATTGTCTCATTCTAGGTTTAGCGGCATATTTGAAACCACATTTGTCTGTGCTAGCTGGCGCAGATCATCAAGATAGTATCATAGGGATGATATATGAGTCCATGAAAAGGTAAGTGTTTTTTTACTAAGAAGTATCCACAAATAAAAATATCGTGTGCTACGTGTTTGGGTTGCTGTCGACTTAAAATTCATCCTTTCTTTCCTGGAATATAACTTTTCCTAAAGATGAACTAACAAACAGTGGTTTTACCAGTTGACCTAAATGGAGCTGTTTGGTTGCACTTAAACCATTGGACAGGCTCACTGTGCGACCCCTTGTATTCCAAATAAGCGAAAAGTTCGCTTGATTTTATAAATCGCTTAAGTTTCTTCCAAGCCTGTGTATCCACCTCCGCAAGGTTGGAGCTAGGATAAGCCTGAAAAAATTGACGCGTTAATTGGCTAAAAGCCGGACACCCGGAGCGGTGCCATCGCTGCTCTGCACGTAGCCGATTCCACTTTACCTTAGCCGAGTAATTGCAGCTGTTATCCAATACAGAGGTACAAGAAGGTTAGATTAGTTGATTTTAAGGGGAATTCAAAAACGTGGTTAATACAATATTCAAAATTTAACTGAACCAGTGATATACTGGAAGAGAGTTCAAGAAGGTGTTGGCGGACTATAGAGGAGTGGAGCTTAAAGCCTATCGATACGCCGTCCCGTCCAGTGATTCTTGTATTTGGTGCCAAGTGGAGTCCTTAAAGTCGGGTACTACCTTTGTGCTGTGACAGTGTGGTGGTTCAGTCGCAAGTAAATGTAGCATCCCAGCATGTATTGCTTGCTCTGCAAATCAAGGGATCATTGGTCCCATTTTCCACGTGACGGGTATTTTTAGAGAGGTTAAAAACATATTGTCTAAGCTGGCTGTATTCAAATTAAGCATTGGGCTTGTGGCAAAGAGTGGGGATGGGAAGAAGCAAAACAGATCAGATAATCACTGTTTATTTGGATCCGAGAACGCAGTGGAAGAGAATTAAATAAGATGTTATCTGTCTTCGCGCAATATGGATTCTAAATACCTGTTTCTTTAGAGTTCGACTTAGCATACGACTTAGCTTCTCACAACATTAAATTAGGTGTATTTTGATGAAAAGAACACTAGCCACTGTCAACCAATCTTTTTATAATATTTACAGACTGTCGGCAACTACAACGTATCAGTAATAGACAGGCTATGAAGCAACTTAAATTCCTGTACTATTTTGGGAGCACCTTTGAACTTTTTCTGATCAGTACGATCTGGTTCACATTCCCCCTGCGGGTTAGGGGTTCAATAATTTATTCGCATTAAGGCATATCTGTTTTTGTTGTAACCGCAAAAATATTCCCCAAAGTACTTTTTGGTGAATGTTGTGGGAGTGACAATTGGATTTTAGTCGCCTCTTACGACAGGCATGCCCTACCTCGGGTAAATTCTTGAACCCCTAACCCGCAGGGGTAAAGGCGCGTCTGTCGTCAGAGGCGATTAAAATCCAATAATTCCCACTGTGTAGCACCTTTTCGTTCTGTTATCAGAGCTTCACTGGTATAAAACCACACAAAACCCCATCATTTTGACAGTAAATAAAAGATGTGTACTACATTCTAGTTGCAATTGTTCTGCCCGACAATGTATGTACCTACGAGAAGCTAATTGTCTAACAAAAAAACACAAGTTCAATTTTTTACCATTTTGATAGATAATATTTTGTGCAAAGCAAAATATATTCTAGTACTTCGTTAAAATATTTATAAAATAACTACATGAATCTCTTCACAAATCGAAACTAGCTTTTATATGTGTGTATCCGCAATATATATGCGTACTCTGTATGCCAAAAACGAACACCATTCACCAAACCATCAAAATCACTTTGTTGCACAAATAAATTCTTAAAATGTTGCCCAGTTCTTAAACAAAACGCAAGCTTGACTTTTTCATGTCTCTGAAAACTAGTTCTGTGACTACTCCCGTAGTCCATATAATATTCAACAGTTTTCATTTCTTAGCCACTATTGTAAATATTGGTTATCAATTTCAATGGAAACACTGTAGAAATAAATAAAAATAATTGTGTTTGCTATGCGGTATTTATGAATAAAATTAAACCAGAAAAACTATCGAATTTATTTTGCATTCTATTCAATGTATTTATTTCCGATTGCCGGCATTTATCACTTAGCACACTTTTTCATTACAAAACACAAAAATAATGATTACTCATGTACATACATGCGACAAAAAATAAATAAATAGAAACAACACAGAAAAATAGAGTAAATTTTGAGAGTTTGCTTTAACACTGTAACTGTCTAACCGATTCATTTTAACATAAATAAATAATTGTTATTTTAGTCACTTGTTTAAGAAACTCGACTTTACACTGGAAATGTTGTATTTTATTTTCTTTTTATAGCTATAAATATACTCATTATCGCAATATTAAAGCACACATTAAACACTTATAAAACCACTGCCAATTTTATTCGTGCAAAGATTAATAAGTAGTCCTTTAAACCGAATATACGCCATTTTTTCAAGGAAACTATTATTTTTTAACATCATTTCATTTAAGTATTGAGTAAATTTACACACGTGAAGAATTGTTGCAATTGAGACAATCAAGTCAGACGGACAGACACCGAGCCACACGGGCACGGAACGAGCGCGAGCACAGCATATATCAAAGTAGCGAGCAATTTATTGTACTAGATTTTGATCGTATCGTTACAATCTTATTGGACAAACGAATGAGCAGTGAAGGGGAAAAACGAATTCCTCCTGCTGCGAACGAATAGCAGAACTCGGGGAAATTCAATGAAATTCCTCATCTTCAAAACAGCAACACACTTGCTCACCTTGAGATTATTCACTACACATGTATCTCATAATGAATTTTTCGCACTAAATTTCATTTTTTCAATATTTTTGTTCGATTTCGACGCGTCTTATCGGGAAATAATAATGTTAAAATTTAGAGCACACGCAAAGAACGATGAACAATAGGCAAATGCAACGAGATGACGTTCGCTGAGTCTTCAATAGTTGAATTGAACTCGTCAAAACAGAAAGATTTAATTCGTTTCATTTTTGTTAATGCCAAAGTTACACCTATTAAAAACTAATATTTTACAAAATAAATTTAATTCAAAAGTATTTTGTCTAATTCTCTTCGAATATATGGTTCAGCTTATGTTAAAATATGTTGTTCGATATCAAATAAGACCTCGCCAACAAATATAAATGGTTGCTAAAACTCTCTATTGATTTTGTTATCATAATTTCAAGGGGTCGTTTTAATTTAGAATTCTATCAAACTGAAGTGTTAGCACTACTGGTTCAGGTATCAGCTGTATGCGCCTATCTAATTATTTTAGGTTATTTTCTTTTGTGATAGAAATTTAAGCGTATTTTAAACTAATTCCACAATTATTAGCAAATATTAAAAAATATGGGTAAGGTCATGTCAATGGTGGCACGTAAAGTGAATCGTTTCAATGTGGAAAATAGAGCGCATAGAGTCCTGGAGCGTGACAAACCTGTGCCGGCTCCTAAATTCGAATCCAATATTCAGGACATGCAACGAGCCCTTGAATGTAAATATTTAAGAGTTTATGCTCTTCATTGACAGAAAGTGTAAAATATAATTGTTTTTATTTTTCAGTGGACCCGAATCTAATAGAAAAATTGAATAAAAAGGATCAAGCGCTTGACGATCGATTGAAAGATGTTTATGTAACTTCGGAGGATAGATTTGTGGGTTAAAAGGAGATTAATATAAATATCATAACAATAAAAACATTTCTAATTTAAAAAATAGATCGACTATGCTGCGCAACGTACAGATCCAGATAAACCACTTCCATTGAGTCGAAAAACTGTACAAGATTTTGAATATGGATACAGAGAACCAACTCGAGTTGTACCGGGTCGATGTACACTTCGCCAAGCTATGCAGTTTATAACAGACCATCAAAGTGACCCGGATTTATGGACAAAACAAAGAATCGCCACAGATTACAAATTAAAAGAGAACGTTGTCGGTAAATAGCTATAGATACTTTTCACACGCCGAAAGCTTTTCTACTTACAGCAATTTTTTTTATTTTTATTTCAGAAAATATTCTGTATTATTTTAAAAGTTTTAATGTATACATCCCAGACAAAGGTCAGAAGGAGCGCATACTTTCCCAAGCTAAAACTAAATTACTGGAAAATAAAAAAGAGGAGTAATATGAGCTACATAGATTGTTTTCTGCCATTAAAATGAATATTTCGCTTTGGTGGGAAAATGTAAAAAATAATTTACTCTAATAACATTAAGTAGAATTCATTGTTGTTAAATTTAATTACATATTGAAAAGTACATGACGATTGATTTACGGTTAAAAAATCTGTTTTTATTATTTATGTTATACTATAACGTTAGGCGGACAATTATACAAATTTAATGATTTATCCTCAGAAACAGAGATAACTTTATCATTTGATAAACTGTATTTTACGCCCCAGGCTTGATCACTATGATCTGAAAATGTGTGCATACATTTACGTTCGGCAAAGTCCCAGATTTTTACGGTCATGTCGCTGGAGGAAGACGCAAAATGTTTACCATCCTCAGAAAATGAAACACATAGCACCCAGGATGCATGACCAGATAGGGTTCCAGCAACGTCCGAGTGGGCTCTATAAAGATATTTAATGCGTTTAATACCTAAAAAAAAATATGTTTTGCTTTACACCTACACATCATATAGCTTCATATGTCCATCATCAGAAGCAGTAAGTAACATTTGAGAATTAGGGGAGAAGCATAAACTTCGTACCGACATTGCATGACCTTCAAGAGTTTGTGCCACTTTACCAGCAGCTACGTCGAATATTGTGATGATTCCGTCTATTGCACCACTTGCTATGTATTTTCCATCCGGACTCTACAATAAAACGACCAGTAGTCGATGGGTTACTTATGTATGTACACAATATGTATTAGAACTTACATAAGCGATGCTTAAGGTAAACTTTCCATTTTGAGGATCAAGAACCTGTTCTGCTTTACCAGTCTCTACGCTATACATTGAAATTTTGCCATCATTGGATCCTGATATAACATATTTATTGCAAGGAGAAAAGGCGACGGTCCACAAATCTACGGGACCAAACGAAAGCAAATTCTTTTGTTGCCCGCTTTTAGAGTCCCAAAAACATAAGCTGGAATCCAATGAGCTACTCGCAATTGCTATAACAAAGTATTATTTAAAAAAAAATATCTGTGTATATCTTTCAAACTTACTTTTCCCATCAGGACTAACAGCTACTGAAACCACACCAAGTGAATGCCCTTTTAGTGTATGTCGGAGCTTCAGCTGATCATCTTCTCGTATATCCCACACTTTCACCAAATCGTCTAATCCACCTGTCACAATAAAATCAACTGGCTCGGGTTTTTTTGTTCCAAACAAGGAGTCATTGCTAGCATCCGGATCTTTTCCTTCTTCACCATTATCAGTATGCACACCCTCTGGTTGTAATCGCCCCCATGAGCACGACCAGATCTATGATAAAGAATACTTAATGTTTATATCTGGTAAAAGTTGTATACTAAATAACCTTACTCCATCATCATGAGCGGCTTCTTCTTTGTGAAGTAATGAAAACTGGAATTGATGAAAAATTATTGATATAAGGTCATTACTTTTAAAATAAATTTCAAACCAACCATTATTACTATCTCATACAACTTAGTGATTTAAAACCAAATATTAAAATAGGAATACAACTTGCAGCCGGAAAATGCCAAACAACCAAAATATAATATTTGACAGCTCTAAGCTTGCCACCAAAAAAAAAAGTTCGATGAAATGACGGAAGATGCCACAGAGAACTTAGAATAAGTATTGTAACGACCTTTCTAAGTACTGGATTGTTAAATAAAAGTCATCAGTTTCTTAAAACTGCTCCAAAAAACGTTTTTTCTTCAAATAAAATATATTAAAAAAATGTTATAAATCATGTAGATAATCAGATCTATTAAAATATTAATTGAAAAATTTTATATTTTTTGCATTGAATATTTTTGGATGTAGTACCGACCATAGGAAGAGATATTAAGAGTAAAATGCCTTTTAATTCGTGTTGATAAGCTCAATAGGTTCTAAATACGAGTGTCACCCAATTGAAAAAACGTGGTTTCGAGAAAAAGACGATTAAAGTGCTCGAGCGGCTGCAAAAGTAGTGATGTCCGCAAGTCGTAATTTGTTGGCACAAGACTCGACATGTTTATCTCTAATAAACTAATACTACTATCTTTGTCGGATATCAATACAATAACAAGACACCGCTGACCTGATGTGTCGGTAACTCCATCGACATCTAGCGCAACCTATAGGCAAACTCCGGTTTAACACTTACATACCTAGTACTTGCAAGTGTTTTACCCGTTGTTTCGTGCATTGCGGATCGATATCCCTTCATGATCATCTTTCAAAAGTAGTCTTCCAGGGTTCGGTCATTTCGTTCTACCATACCATCTAATTCGGGATGCCGAGCAGTAGTTACGGTTTTCGAAATACCTATTATCTGGCCAAAGGTCATTCTTGTTTCCGAATCATATTTCTGCATCTGTCCATGATTTCTGCATATCGACCTTTTGTGGAATTCTTTGAGAAGTTCCGGAATCCTCAACTTCGAAACTATTATTAAATTGCGGAACCAATGACCAACTTCATTTTTCCCATACTCTATGCAACTTTAAATTGCTCTGTTGCACCCCTTTGAAATTGGATTGCGTGCTGACTTTTGCTTCTTACTTGCCCGTCTATCCATTTCCAATCTATGCATTAGAAGTTCCCAGTCCGGATCATCTTGCTGACATTACCATAGGTAACTGGTTTTCCACTCTTCTGCGGTTGTAATTCTTCTTAGTCGGACATTTTCAATGTCTTCTTTACCTTTGGTGCACCAGAGACCGATTTATTCGAAAAAAATTTAGTTATACTTTGTTGTGCTCGATATTTGACTTCAAACTAAAATTTTTAAGGAGTCAAACAAATAACCTAAAAATAATTAAATTGTCTTATTAGAATCATTCAAAGCGGAGAAAGGCGTGAGCAAAAGGTGGTACGTTTTGTTATGACCTTCCTCTTCAAATATGCTGCTGTAAAGCTATAGGAGTTTTAATTTGAGGTTGGAGAAATTAACGAACGCATAAGCATTCCGTTCGGAAGGCGAATGGTTACCTGGTTAATATTTGGCAAACTCGTTGTATTATTTTGAATGGCATCTAAAGTACTAGTAAAAAAATCTGAAAATTAAATTTGGTTTCTGCAATTCTTTTTGCGATTTCCAAGTTATAATTTTCCCCTGATCAACATTTCTTTCTGATGTTGTGGTTATTATTTAATAAATAATTCTTATTAAGCGTATAAACACAATCAGATGTTTTATTCAGTAAATATACATTAAAACGAGCTTCGGCTATCAATTTGTCTTCTTCAACTTTTCTGTTATAAGCCAAATCCTGAAGATCCGCAAAAATCGCCACTTGATTGTGTTGAATAGTGAGAAAAAATATAATTAAAGATGGATAATTTATGTTTAGTTGTAACATACACAGAAACAAAAAACTTATGTTCATAATCTCTGCTGTTAATTAATTTTTCTCAGAAGTCCTTATCAAGTTCGCAATCACTCACCGAAACAAATTTTGGTTAGACCAAGGCAAAAAAATAACTTGCGTGTAGTCTGCTTATATTGGCTTGAAAGGTTAAATTTTTCAAGAGATGGCAACTTGTTTTGTAATCTACTACAATTTTGGGGAATTTGGCAGTATTGCATTTTGGGGCCAAATCTACCTGTCAATGCAGTCATTTCTCGTAAAACGGCACAGTTGACGGTTTTGTTGAGCGCAAACTAAATAATTCTTATTGTAGAAATTATTTGGTGTTGGAAACGACTCAATCGTTCATATAAGTCACAAAATATTTACAATAAATTGAAAACACCATTTGTGAATATCGTAATTACATTTAAATGCAATTAAACGAAAATAACAAATAGTTACGAAACGACGAGTGAATACGTGCACTGAAAATACATGAAAAAGAAATTGTGTAAGATAACTACATAGAGCAAAGTAATTGGGGGAATAAAATATGGCGATAGCCGGAAAAGTCTAATAAAATAGTGTGCATACAAAGTAAATAACGTATATTTATTAGTTATCTGTCAAAATTAATAAAAAGTTGTGTGTTTTTATGTAAAAAAATCGATTCCAAATACAAATAAACTTCTGATTTATTTTTGGCAATATATAAAAATACAAAAAGTTCATCCTGGTGGCGCGTGTTAATAATCAAACTCTTATTCGTTCAAAGCTTTTTAACACATGTGTATGTATATTTGTGAGATACTCCTGCGCACAAGACACATCGCTACTATGAAGACGGTTGGACGTTCGTAACAGCTCAGACAATGGACAGTATTGCCGGTGACTTATTGGAATACATATGTATATGGAAATAAATTTTTCATAAAATTGGAATAGTTTGCTATACATATATCTCCACCACTGCTAGTTCTAATTTAAATTATTTCTAAATGTTAATCTATCGAATTGAGTGTAAATCCAAATAGTTTCCTGTGTAATGATTTTTGGCGAACTAAAGTTTAATAACTGGCTATTTTAAGGTGAAATGTTATTTGCTATTAGCATGTAATTTGCTATTCGGGTTTGCAGTTCCGGGAGTGTATAGATTTCTAATTAAAAAAACTGATTTGCATGTCTTAAAGTAAATAAGAAAGAAAAAAATAGTGTAATTGCAGTGAAGAATATATTACTAGAGTTGTTTATACCTACGAGATTCTTGATTTATTCTCGTAATCTTACTCAGTTGAGTCTCGTCATCACTGCTGTTTCCTTTCTCTAATTTTTTTTTTTAATTTTTTTTTTTTACTATTTTTTTATAAACAAAACTGCAACCGGTTTTATATGATTTTTTATTCACATACATACATACATACTTATGCACCTTCCTATATGACTAATTTTTCGATGTTTGAATAGCTCAGTGTACGAACGAAAAAAAACACATTTGTATGTACATACATGTATACATAAAACAACAAAAGTGAAATAGTAATAAAAGTGCTTGGAAAATATTGTATAAGGTGAGTACCCGTGCTTAGTTTATTGCATATATGTACACATGTAAATGAATTGGCGTAGTTAAAGAATATCGCTGAATTGGTATCTTTTGGTATGTACATATGTATGTTCATACAGTTATTGAACTTTACGTATGTGGTTGTGTATGCATATACATATATACATATATAATATAAATATTTTCGACACCGCCGTTTGTTATTATGAGAACTTTGGTCTAAAACATAATAAATTGCAGTAGTGGATATAAAGAAAGAGTAAAACAAAGTTATAGATGAGAGAATAGTGATTTCATTTATAATTTAAACGTTTGCTATAAAGCCAGGTGTTAACAGCTGGCACTCTTCGACTTATCGCCAAATATTCGCTAGTGTGTTGGACAAATATTATATGTATGTATGTATGTACATATATGCATTAACCATTTGTTGAAGTTGTGGATATGTATGTAAGTATGCGTATATGCACCGAATGTACGTTTCATTTTATTCTTGTATATATGTAAGCATGCATATGTAAATTCATACTTAGATTTGCGAATGGGTGTACCCTTATATGTGCATTTGTATGTACATATTTATTCAAAAATAACTGGTTACCTAAATACCTCAAGATACGCATTTATTTATATTTCATGCAGCGTATTGCTGAATTTTTTAGGAATTTCTTTTAATTCTTGTTAAAATTCCCAATTCGAATGGGTGAGTGGTAAAAGAGAATATAAAAAAAATTATAAATCATATGTATATTTTAAATAGAAAAATTCTATGAGTGGTTATAGAATAAGATATATATTTAAAAAATATCTATTTATGTTTTACTTCAATTATTAAAGCTTTGCGTTGTACAATTTACTTAAAATTTACTAAGCAATTTCCGGGGAAACCTACATACAGCTTTAAATTTCCCTATATATGTACATATACATACATATGTACGTTGATTTGAAAAAAAATATTGTTTGGCGATAAAACAACGTTGTTTCGATATCTTATCGCCAACTGTGTATTTGTATGTACACAAAAGTTATGAGAATACAAATGTGGTTGTTATCTGATAGTGACAGCGATTGTGGGTAAATAAACAGTACACGTTTTAAAAAATATTTAAAGGAAAAGAAAGGCTAAGCTCGTTATACTATACCGAACACTAGGCATAGATACCCAAACGCTAAATATGGGCATCACACGACTTTTCTAAATTGTTGTTTGTAAATTTTTTGCTATGAGATTTTTTAGTAAAAAAAAAAACTAAAAACATATATTTACTTTACGTACATACATACATCGGGCTACTATTTATTTTGGCTCCCATAAAGAAGTTATGGACTTCTTTTTTTTTTTTGTTGAAAAAAACTGCAATTGCACAAATATGCGTATATGAAATAGTAAATATATATGTATCTACATATGCTTTTTTATTTAAAACAGAAACTTACAGAAAACGTAAACAAACATATTACGGTGGATTCAAATATTCCGAAATGAACTTTATTTGTCTTTTTTTTCAGTAAACTCTAATTTGTTTAAAGTATACTAATGCTCATTAGTTGTATTCTCATCTGTTTGCAAATATGCATACATATAATGTTCGAACAAAATTTTCCACCTAATTTCTGGAAGACTCACGACGAATAGTTTCTTGCACCGCACCCTCGCCATCACTTATGCTCAATAATATTTTCCGTAGGAAAGCCACTTGTGCAAAGCTCATTAATTAAGCTTCAATAAAATTTTTTGATTTTCGTCAATACTATTCAATATAATTAGAGGTACATACATATATCATCTCCATTCCTCATATTGACCAAATCTCACTCTTTAAAACAATTCGCTATGGTTTGATTACAGACGTCAATATTCCAAGCTTCTCTCATATGATGGATGCAATCCATAAGTGTCATACTATCCTGCATTTCGTTTGCTTCTATGCGTTTTAGTGCTGCTTTTACCATTTTGCTACGGTAGAAAATTTTAAAATTTTGAATTAATCCGGGAGCAAGTGATTGCAACTTCGAGGTTAAATTCGGTGGAAAAATGCCAAATCAATGGATTTCAAGTTGCTTTGTATGGATTTTGGATGGGCTGGACAATTATTAATAAACAACAAAACAACTTTTTTTTCATCCTTGGAAAAGTTGCCCTGTCACTCAGGTCTTGAAGTTAGCTTTATAATCCACGAAAACACCGAGGTTTTGCACATTTTCCAATCGATAGAATTTTCAGTTTTTCCGAACCATCCATATTTGCTGCCAGCATTCAACGTTTTGTTCCATACCTTTACTTCTATTTATCAAGAAAACCTGTGCCTGCCATAAAATGTTCATCGGCAAAACGTTTTTCAAACTCCATTGCCTTCTTCGTTAGTATTACTCCAGATACATGTAGTCATGCTTTGGCTTTTAGCTGCTTTAAACCAATCGAGATCTGGTTTGTCGGTACATTGAATCTTTGGGGTTTTAATCCGTTCACTTAAAAATAATCCAGTTTCAAACGATATAACGATAATTGATTCTTTATTTTTAAAAATCGTTGAGACCATACTAGCTGGGATACGAGTATGTTCATCCGCTACCTCTTTCTTTAATCTACATTCGACGTCTTTGATTGGTTTGTATTTTTCTTCAACCGACAAACATTTCAAAACACATTTCGTTGCCATGATAATAAACAAATACGAATTTATTTACGCGATACTGACACTTTTATGGCGGTATCTAGGTAAATTTAACGACAAAAAAGCGTATTTGAAAAATTATCATCAATAAGCAAATGTCATAGAAAAAGAGAGAAACATAAAGAAATGAAACCGAAAAAAAACGGATTTCCCCGAATAAAAAAAGCTTGAAACAGCGGCTTCCTAGCGAAATGTAGAGCGAAAGAGAGTAAGCACAATACCATGATACAAAAATATTATAAGATAATTTCACTTCGAAACTTTTGACACCAAACGTGTTTGCTCAGAAATGTTTGATCTTACCAATTAACAAATATTCAGCTTGCAGATTTTTGAATTATTTTTTGGATTACCTTCTAAGCAGATGCTATAATATTGAGTACACGTACGGATCAATTAAAATTATAATTTCAAAAAATGGTAAAAGTTGATACTTCTTACTTTTTTTTCGAAACTGAGACTTATAGATTTTCTCGACTATATGCCGAACGTCTATGGTTAAGCTACCTGGTCATAGGAACCCCCCCCCCCCCCCCCCCAGTGAGCTGCGTGGTCGATGAGCTGACTGGATAGAAAACAGTCTTAATGCCGGTAAACTCTGCTCATAATGTAGGCATGCATCTTTCCTCTGCTAAGTTTTTTTTTAAGGCTAGCCTTCACCAGAAGAGCCAACAGCAGACGACAGAGTGGAACCACGTGCAATGGAACGTATATAACAAAACTAAGTCTTTACTATTTATAAGAAGTACCTCCATAAGCATCACTACCGGCGTATTAACAGGACACTGTGTTGTGTAGACTCATGGTAGAAGGATGGGATGTTTCTCAAACAACTTTTCTGACATTGCTTACCAGAGCAAGCATCTCTAGGCATCATTTATCCCCTGAAACTCGTAAAGTAAACCAAGTGTAACCACTTCATTATCATCTGGAAAAGTAAGAGGAATCTTCTTCACGAAACTAACTGACTAGATTTCCAAATATCATTATATTTAGCGCTTAGATTGAATTTAAAAGTGTTTAAGCGTAATTATGAGATTCTTATAATGAATTTGCAATGCTCTAAAAACCTACAATTATTAAAACAATATCCATCAGATCCTCATTTGCTTGAAATCGATTTACATTTTGGTGGGCGAATCTCTTCTCTTTCTGATACCTTCCTACGATTTTCTAAAGCTGTACATCATGAAAGACACAGAAATCACGTGATTTTCTCCACATTTTTTTTACTTTAAAATTATAAATTTTTTTAAGAGAAGATGGTAGCACGAAAAAGACGACGCATTTTTAGTGTCAGAAAGCTATGAAACCGACTGCGAAGAGTTTAATGTATCATGAATTATTGTATCATGCACATTACTTCGAGTTATAGAATTCATATGAATATATTTTCATTCGAATTCGTTCAAAAGTACAATTGTATGTTATTTACTCACTTAACGCTACTGCCAGCCGATTTGGTTCGAGTGAGAGAAAATTCAAGTTATGGAAGTTCGACTGTATATGTACAGTGTCCGACAAAATATATTAGACTAATACCTATCATCACTGGTTTCTACAAATATTATTTCAAATATTAAACCTTAGTAAAATATTTGAGTCCACTGCACCTTCTCGGTATGGAAGCAATCAGATTGCTGTTCAGGAAGTCTGGAACACTTTTGTAGCTTCTAATAGCTTCTTTTTGCTCGCGTTTACACCTCCTCTATAAACTATCTCCAATAGAATACCAATTGGATTGAGATCCGGTAATTGGGCTGGCCACGTAAGAATATTAATATTTTCAGCTGCGATCCAATTTGCTACTAGTTTGGGGTGGACGAAAGTGGCATATTCCTTTCGGCATGGAGAAGTATCACGCTTTTAAAAGTATCCTTATACATAAACCGATATTTGATGTCATTTAATTTGCTGCAGAGGTCCAACTTCAAACCCAGGAAACATTCACATGCCATAGTATCACCTCCGCCATACATAGCAGATACAGTATCGACGATCCAAGCACTTGTTCCTTGATCAGCGCACAATTCAATTTCCACCCGAATATTTCAAATTAAATTTTATTTTTCAGAAAAAACAACGGTGTTCCATTGTTTCACTGACCAGTTGACGTGCTCTCGACCAAATTGTAAACGGTTAAGCCAATGTTTTCTTCCCCACAAATTAGTGCTCTTTTTTGTTCTGTTTGGCTGTTCACTTTTATGTGAGAGCCTTAACAACGCTTGACACTGATTTTAGTGGATACTTTTTAAAGTCCATGAGTATCTGAGTATTTAAGCTTCGAAAATAATTTGTAGTATCAAAAAATATTGTAATTTTCCAT